GAGCTAGCTTACCTGGATCTGCAATGGGGACTTAGCCTATATTTCAGACACGGGACAGAACGTGCTGTACATGGGCACAGGAGCGGTGGGTGGAACGAGGACACGACTCAAGATATCAACCTCTATAATCTGAGTGAAAGGTCGATTCCTTTCACTAAGAGGAAAGGAAAGATCCCGAACCGAGTGTTGCGCAGTTGTTGATCGTAGCACAACTGTTGCACAACAGCACATGGAGGGAGCTGGAGCACATGCAGTAGTTTAATGCACTCTGCACACCTGTATGCAGACTGTAGTGCACAACCTTTTGCTTGAGTTCTCCTTCTGCCCAATAACCAGGTAGCAGTTAACACAACACGTTTGAAAAACAGGATTTGGGGGAGCCACAGACTAGTAAGGCTGGAGGCAGTCAAAACAGGCAAATTAGTAGAAGTTACAATAAAGAACAGAACTAGTGAACATGAGCGTAAATACAATTTACTGCCCCAAATCCATGCAGCATATGGTCAACTCCTTGGGATCTAAAAATACTAAGTGTTCATTTCAAAGGATATTTAAAATGTCATTTCTGCTAAACTCTGTCGTAGGAACTTTTGAAAGAGTATGCCGCCACATCGCCAGAGAATGCAACTCAGTGGTCGTATCTGTTGGGTGATGAACATGAGCGTAAATACAATTTACTGCCCCAAATCCATGCAGCATATGGTCAACTCCTTGGGATCTAAAAATACTAAGTGTTCATTTCAAAGGATATTTAAAATGTCATTTCTGCTAAACTCTGTCGTAGGAACTTTTGAAAGAGTATGCCGCCACATCGCCAGAGAATGCAACTCAGTGGTCGTGTCTGTTGGGTAAGTGCTATTTTTATGTAGAAATATGAGTAGTCCTGTAGTTCACAGGTGAAACGATTCTGAAACATGTGCTGAAATTCCTGAAATTTTAGACTATGCTCCCTATTTCTGGCTTTAACTTTTCACAGAGAAGCGTGCTTATAGGCAATGTATGCTGAAATACACTGTTAGTTTGTCTTTTCAATCTACATCAAGGTAAAAATTAAATATAGACTAATTAAATATAGACTAATTAAATATACATTTTAAGATTTAGAAAAAAATAGGCCTATGTAACTACCATACCAATTAAACATGAACAATGTGAGTTACATTTTTTACAGTCACTTTGACAATAAGCACAATGTCTTTGACATTTCAGTTATCGCTTGGCTCCTGAACACCCTTATCCAGGGCAATATTTTGATTGTCTCAACGCTACCTTGCACTTTATGAGGAATTTAAAAGAGTATCATGTGGATCCTACCCTCATCATCCTTGGTGGTGACAGCTGTGGAGCTAATTTTGCTACAGTTATTTGCCAACTACTACTGAATAAAAGAGATCTTCCAAAAGTACGAGCCCAGATCTTGATTTATCCAGGACTCCAGGGAATAGATTTTCAATTGCCTGCCTATCAGCAGAATGCTTCAGTCCCCATGTTGTTTCGGAAGCTGGTCATTTATTTCTGTTTTCGTTATCTTAATAAAAAGCCATCATATTTGGATGATATCATACAGAATTGTCATGTCCCTGAGAGTATGAAACTGAAGTATAAAAAATGGGTAAGTGCAGACAATATTCCCAGTGAATTTAAGATCCGAGGCTACAAACCACAAAAAAACAGTTCATATAAACCTGAAGTTTATGAAGCGATCAAGGAAGTATTCGCAATGACATTTTCCCCACTTCTAGCTGAAGATTGCATTATTTGCCAGCTCCCTGAATCTTATATTGTGACTTGTGAGTTTGATGTGTTAAGGGATGACGGACTGTTATACAAGAAGAGGCTAGAAGAAAACGGTGTCCAAGTAACCTGGTATCATTCCGAGAGCGGTTTCCATGGACTTTTATGCTTTTTTGGCTATGGGATTTTTTCATTTTTATCTGCAAAAAAACTTATGGATAACACTGTGAATTATATAAACAGTTTATAAAAATATATGTGTAAATAATGCAAGACTTGCACAATTCTTGGCAAATTTATACTTGGCAAAGAAAGTAGCACTTTTGATTTAAGTTTTGAATTCTGACTGCATGAGGAAGGGCACTTTAAACTTTCCAATTTCTCTTTCTGGAATGACTTTCAAACAAACACTATCATTACCTAAAGCATCACCATCCTAAAAAATGTTGTTATAAGAATACATCAGTAATAACTAGAAGCTAACAGAAATAACCTGTGCTCATGTTCTTCCACCTCCAAGCAACAAGAGCAAGATCTTCCCGAGGCTTCCTCCATTGCAAAGATGACAAGGGAGGACGCCTTTGGCCCTTGTAAGATTGTATAAGACATTTAGGGTACGGGAAAAAGAGGACAACATTTTCAGTGCTGTGATGTCTTCTTTTCCAGAGTTAGTTTCCACAAAGACTATATTTTTCTGAACATACAGGTTTCTGCCTGGAACAGAATGTTAAAGGTCTGGTCACTGCTACTTCCAATGATCAACTAAACTCTACAATTCATATTTTGTCAACTTTTATTAACTAATCATTCTAATAAACATAGCTAATATGTGCTGTGACAACCAGCTCCTTGCTTGAGGAAAGAAATTAATTGGAGTGACAAAACAAAAATGGAGATAAAGCTATAAACATTTCTAGAAAGTAGAATTTCCATCCCCTTCTAAGCAAAAAAAAAAAAAAGCACTACTACTAAAAATGAAAATATGCACCTTTTCAGCTAATTTTTTGACCACAAAAATATTAATCAGGAAAAGCTGGTGAAACCATCATAAAGCTGTAAAATGTTCTTACATTAACAATGACAAAGAAAGGCTTGAAAGTACAAGGAAGACATTGAAAAGAGTAGAGAGAAGTCAAAGAAGAACAAGGGATCCAATTCATAAGACGAAGGTGATGATAATTCCATAGAGGATGGAGACATTTAAGAGAGAATTGTAATAATGTGTTGGGCAATAGAGAATGGGGTTAATTGCAGCGCAGTCGTTCTCGCTGGTGTCAGTAGGAAGCTTCCTTCATACCTCAGCATGAAGAGCTGAGCTTGAGGAAAGCAATTAAAGGGAGCTGAGAGACCCATATAACTGTAGGGGAAAGAAAAAGTTACTCACTGTTAGCCAGGAAAAAATACTTTCTGGAAATGCTAACAGAACATTGAAGTTGAAAGACATAAACCTCATTTTATTTCCCATTCTCTGACTTAAACTAATTATACTAGTTTCTCATCTAGCCTGTAGAGCCTGAAGTATCTCTGAATTCAATAAAGATATATCAATTTATAGCAAAAATCTGCCCCATCTAACAATCTGGAGATATTCCACAGCTCATAAAACATTCGCTTATCCTTAGATGAAGAAGCAACTTGTTCCTTTTTTACTATTTGATTTGCTATGATTGCCTTATGGAAGACTGTTTTTCTGCTAGTTAAAAGCTATCACGGACACTAATTCCTGAGAACACACTGAAAAGTACAAGGACACTCTTGTGGATATGAACATCAGAACTTGTGAAATTTGGTCTAGATCAAATTTCTGCAGCAGCCAAGACACTTTCCCTAGTAAAATACTTAGCAAACACACGAGAAATTATTGCCAGCTCCATAGGGGCACAAGTAACAGCTCTAGTCATTTCTAATGGAGAACTTAAGATCTTTCCCTTTGAGCCTTAGCGATAACTGCCCTGACTTTGGAGTTTTCTGTTTGGACAAATGATGTATGCAGTTTTGTTCTGTGCGATAACAGAACTGATGCCCAGTTACAGCAGGAAGGCTGGAGGTGTTTAATTTCTCAGCAAAAGTGACTCCGTATGCTCTTTGGGAAATTCCTAGGGGATTCTAATTTCAAGGTAAAGTACTCTACAAGCACCCTAAAATTTAATGCACCTGAATGTATGTTATGGTATCAACTAATTAAAGTAACTGCTTCCAAGAAATTCTGAAATTCTCCTGTATTCTGTATTTTTTATTCTATAACTTATTTTGGTTGCAGCCAAAGTGGACATTTAGCCTCAGATAATTTAAAATGCACCCAATCTGTTTAAAAATGTCAGAGGATGATTCTTGTGTCTATGTTAAGTGAGAGAAACTCGCATTCCACACTATTATTTGTAAAAAGGGAGGAGAAACCTTTTTACTAGAGCAACCTTATGACGGACAAAGGCAGTTAAGAATCAGGAAGTAACTAGTGAAAGATATCTGGGAAAGTCAAATCAAAGACATTTAAGCTCATTTTGTCCACTGCTCAGCAGAATGGCAATTGCTTATACATTGTTGGTGCTATTCTTGGCAGTTTTCGTCGCTGCATTTATATTTTTGGTTATGGGGGTTATTAATTTTGATTACTGCAACTCAGAAATTCCTCCCGGTGTGAGCCAACCTGTAAAGCTCCGAATCATTCATATGCTTTTAATAAGCACAGCTGTGGTGGTAAGTTAAATTGGCATGATTTATGGGGAAAGATAGAGGAACCTGTAAATATTAAACCTAAGGCAATGCTTGAACCTCGCCTTGAAAGAGAGGAAAGCAGGATATTGCTATTACTCTGCATGCTGGATTTAAGAAACTCAAACCCTTATTGGTTTTTTTATGCTACACTGCATTATATTGCAGTCAGAACCTGCCCAGCTCTCTTAAAATGGGTAGTATTTAAGCACTGCCTAACCCAAGGGTTTGAAAAGCTCTGAACGGAGCATCTAAAATGAATTATTTTAACCTAGCAATAATTTGATTAACAACATATATATACATATGGGATTGTATATGTTTTCATTATGAGTTCAGAATACACCACAGATCTTTGAGCCATGCTTCAGCTTGGGGAGGCGGGTGAGAAGTTATATATTTATTTTGCAGATAAAAATGGAAACTGGAAATTTTAAAACTGTTTTCGGAAGGGGAGGATCTTTTTGTGATGACATGTGATAAAATTAGGTACAATTGCCCCAAAAAGCCAAGGGAATTCCATTTCCTTCCAATTCCATTCCATATGTCTGTAACTCCTGTTGCAACTGAGCGGAAGAAGGGGCTTGTTTGAGGGGAATGAAGAGTTTGGGGCAGTCCAGCTCCTTCAGGTGAACTGGCCTGTAAAGGAGTGGGCAGTTAATCTGCTCACAAGACTTTTAGCTCATCCACTAATAGTTTTACCAACATCCAACTTACGGGGATCTTTGCCGAAAAAGGATCTTATTGAATCAGGAATTTCCATGTTAATTACAAATGCATAGATGCTAAGATGATGGTAGATATTAGAAATATATGAGACACTAATTGTTATGCACCTATTTAATGAATTATTTCAACTCCTCCAACAGGGACAAACTATTTAAATTAAATATATATATACACATACACAAATGTGCACGTATGTGCATAAATTTCTCAGTCAGGAATATTCCAGTTTATAATGGATCATCCTAAATTAGTCCAGTATATAGACTCTCATGCTTTGGCTACACACAGGTTGTAATTAAAAAGACATTACTTGACCTAAGCAGCTAGAAAATCCAGTTCTCTCTGTCACTGCCCATTAGTACATTAGGGCAGGTTTGTACGCTACAATGTAGAAAACAAAGAATGAAATAAACAGGTTAAACATCTGAGAATATTCCTTGTCGCTGTTCTGTTTGTGTTTGGGAACTGGATAATACCCTAGAGTAAATAAATTCATCACCTTTCTGTGCAATCAGAAACACTAAGCCTGGTTCCTGCAGTGAATTCAAATCAATATGCCGCTTGGTTGGTTTTCTCAGCCTCAGTGAGGACACACTGGTACTTGTTCAGAATGAGTAAATCAGGTATTTCAAAAAAGAAGCTTTTTCCACAAAGTTAAACTGGAGCTGTAGCTCTCCTTTGTATTTATTTCACCCTCTGATTTCTTGCATGAATATCACTATATGGAAGGAAGACGAGCTTAGGCCTATTAAGTATCTCAGGATCTTCTCATCAGTGCATTGAAAATACCAGTTAACATTTCTGAGGTGAATCCAAAGGCAAGTATCAAACATATTCTCATCTTAGTCAATGCTATTTTGGGCAAGGGACCACATCATGAAAATTAGCACCAGACCCTCTTATCTTTCTCCAAGCTTTCACATTTTCTCAGGGGACAGAATAATCAATGAAAATCAAACTTTTCTATATTTAGTAAGGAAAATACCTCCTGAGAAAGCAAAGGAATATACTTAACCAATTTTTGTCAATGCTTTTGAGATTAGGGTCTTCAGCCAGCACTGTGGTTCATGTGAGCTTTCATGATGTTATTTATTCAGTGGCTTTGCACCTGTACAACTATACAAATATTTTATGGTTCTCCTCCTGAATGACACAACTTAGACCTCTCATATGCACTGCCCATGGAGCTCCTTTACTTTGGAAAATACAAAATCTCCTGACTGAGTTTCCTATTTTCTTTGCATTTGAACAGGGGAAGATTTTGGAAAATATTGGCATCTGCAGTCAGGTTAGCTTTGTCCGATATATGCAAGGTAGAAAGACTCTGGGAGCAGACCAAAACCTTTTCATCAAGGATCTGTGGTTTGATAAGGTGCCGGTGAGGATTTATCAGCCCAAGGCTCCATCTGCCAGCCAAAGGAGGGGAGTTATATTCTTCCACGGAGGAGGATGGGTATTTGGAAGTCTTGGTAAGACATTTAACTGAAAAAATAATATTCTTTTCTAACAATTCCCTTCTTATGCAATAGGTAACATGGCTACTCAGGCAAAAAACAATGAAAATATATTTTTTTCAGAGACCTATGAAAAGCTATGCCGCTCAATTGCCAAAGAAAGCGAATCTGTGGTTGTATCTGTTGGGTGAGTCCTTCCTCATACTGTTTTTTAATTTCCTATACTGTGGATATCAACTTGTAATTTCCTTCACCATAGCAATAACTTGTCCCAGAATAGCGTTTCTGGAGGTCTTGTCAAGCATGTTGTTTGACAAATTCACTCTACTCTTGTCTGGAGACACTGAAGACTGACTTGGTCAGTTTTAGCTGACTACACTGCACATAATTCTTACATTTAACTGGAAAAAGAAGGTTCATGCTTTCCGTTCCAAACTCAAAATTGAAAACAAGCAGTAAGTCAAATACTATACTACTTAATCCTTATTCAAGCAAACTCTACTTGATGGTTATAAGAGCACTACAAGAATGACAAACTAGTATCGTCACCAACATGTTGACACAGCTGTCTGCATGATGAGGATATAGTTGCACTATAGCAAAGACATAAAAAGGGAGTTATCATCATTCCTATCTGACACATGGAAAGCTAAAGCACAAACTGATTAAATGACTGCCATAAAACCTGGACATAGTTACAAGCTGAATACTCCTGACTTTTTCAAGCTCTGAACAATGTCCCAAGGAGATGATGATCCCAACAAACTAGTATTCACCACTATTAGAAAAAGTTTATTTATGATACCTTGGGGAGAAAGGGAGAATTTTGAACTAATTAGCGTTTCTCTGGTTGAAAAGAATTGGGGCTAAACTTTCATGAATGACAGCAATACATCTACAACTAATAATACCTTCTTCTCTTGCTGTTTTTATGTCTTTCTGTGCATCAGGTACCGTTTAGCTCCTGAGCACAAGTACCCTGCCGCATATGAAGACTGTCTTAATGCCACCCTACACTTCATGAAGAATATCGAGCACTATGGGGTGGATCCTGCCCACATAATTGTCAGTGGGGACAGTGCTGGGGGCAATCTAGCAGCTGCTGTTAGCCAAACCCTTGCAAGCAGATCAGACCTCCCAAAACTACGGGCACAGATCCTGATCTACCCAGGTCTTCAGGCTCTGGATTTCAATCTACCTTCCTATCAGCAAAATCGGGCAGTCCCTCTCCTATTCAGAGAACGTGCTGCGTTCTATGTGTTACAGTACCTATATGGGGATGCATCAGTTCTGGAAGATGTCTTGGAGGGCACCCATATTCCTTCAGATATTATATTAAATTATAGGAAGTGGGTGAATGCAGAGTATATTCCTGAAAAATTCAGGGTCAGAGGCTACAAGCCGCATGTGCTACTTGAATGTGCAACTGAAGTTTACGAGGAATTGAAAAAGTTCTGTGAGCCCAACCTGTGTCCGCTGTTAGCTGAAGACGCTGTCGTCCAGCAGCTGCCCGAGACCTTCCTCTTGACGTGCGAGTACGACGTGCTGCGAGACGACGGTCTGCTCTACAAGAAGAGATTAGAGGACAACGGTGTGCCGGTGACCTGGTACCACCTCGACGATGGGTTCCATGGGATCATAAACTCATTTAATAGTGACTGGTTTTCATTTTCATCTGGAAAAAGGGGTGTTGATAATATTGTGAACTTTCTAAAAAGCTTATAAAATAAATTTTCTTTCAACTATAGGTATATATAAGTATTGCCAATTTTCTGTGATTTTGTTTCCTGCTCCTAAATTTCAGAGAAGTTTAGATAGGACAATTTGTGTTAATGAGCAACCGCGACAATACGACAACTGGAAATTTTTAAAGAAGGCTGGGAAAGTTTCTTTCAGTGATATCTCAAGTATTCTGTGCACCACATGTCTATTTTAATGACCTCTTGGCACCAGGCGCTTGCAAAACTTTCAATAAATATTAAAGAACATTATTTTAAACCCACGTTTCATCTTACTCATTTAATTCAATTCTGAACTACAGTTTTATTCTTCCAAGAAGGCGTTAGGTGGTCATGGGGAAGAAATCAAAATTTATTGCAACACTATAATGCAGTACCTGTGCTATATATTATGTGCAGCAGTTGCCAATTTGCATAAAATTACCATGATCTAGGTGATATTTCAAACTTGAAAAATTGAAGTCAAAACTGCAGCTGTCCCCAATAGAGCCACTCTGTAAATTACAACAGAGATCTTTCAAATGCCATAAATATGTTCTTATGTTTACCAAACACATGAACATGCTGAAGAACTTGTTCCTACATTTAAATACTCTAGCAATAAAACCAAGTCAACAACGTATATTTTTTCTTTAAGCACATGTGATATTTAACTTTTTTCTCCCTAAATGCCCTATATATTCCAGGCTCTGGATTTCAATTTACCTTCCTGTCAGCAAAATCGGCGTCCCTCTCCTATTCAGAAAACATGCTGCTTTCTTTGCCTTGCAGTACCTAAACGGGGATGCATCGCATGTAGAAGAGGTCTTGGAAGGCTCTCACATTCCTGCAGATGTTAGGTTGAAGTATAGGAAGTGGGTGAGTGCAGATAATATCCCTGAAGAGTTTAACGTCAGAGGCTACGAACCACACAAGCCCTGTGAATTTAAGGCTGAAGTTTTTGAGAAAGTTAAAAGAATCTTTGAGTCTAATCTGTGTCCGCTGTTAGCTGAAGACGTTATCATCCAGCAGTTGCCCGAGACTTTCATCTTGACGTGTGAGTACGACGTGCTGAGAGACGACGGTCTGCTCTACAAGAAGAGATTAGAGGACAACGGTGTCCCGGTGACCTGGTATCACCTTGAGGATGGATTCCATGGAATTCTGATCCTATATGATTATCATGGTATTTCGTTTCCAGGGGCGAGGAGGGGACTGGACAGGATTGTTAACTTCATAAGGTGCCTGTAGACACCACAGGCATCCTCTGTTATGCTCCCTGAGCCATAGGGCCTATGGTACTTGAGGGGGAACATTTTATGACAGGTTTTGGAAAGGCCTCAAGGATCAGCGAACTGCCCTTTTAATCTATGCATGTTAGAAGATTTTGCTTAGCATTAGAAAATATAAACAGTTAGAAAATATGCGTATATTCTTTCAGAGAATGGTTCCCCAAACAGTTATTTTAGAATTTGTGCTGTCATTTCTCCATGTTCTGTGTTTTCCTTAGATGATAGGTGAGTACATCCCCTGACTTTGTATTTCGTTTATGGAAGAACGCAAAACAAGAGCGACCACAAAGATCCTCAAAACCCATAACACTGAGGAAATCGGCAATTAAAAACACACACAGAACAAACCACAAACGCTCTGTTTTCCTTAGATTTCCCCGGGGTCCCACTGATGTGATGTCTAAAGCTTCTGCCGCACAGGATTCACCGGAATGGGGATTTTTAACAGCAGCCG